TCGTGTTACGGTACACTTCAGGAATTGAACAAGACTGCTATCCATGGTGAATAAATGGGACTATTTTATGGGAGTTAAAAACACTAGTTTTGTCTTGTACCTCCTGTTTTGTAGCAGAGCTGTACTTTTTTAAAAAGGAAAACACAACCTAAATAGAATAAATTGTTCCCTGAACACCTGAGGCTTAGCTAACATCTCTTGTAGTTACCCTCTAAAGAGATTTTGCTAGTCAAAATAATTAGTACCATTCATTATGTCTCTACTGGAAATAATTTTAATTTTTCAAATGTGACTTGGTCTGATACTAAGTTCAATAATATGCCAAAACCTAATTCTGTGTGTGTGTGTGTGTGTGTGTGTGTGTGTTCCTGCTGTTGTTTGATTAAACTATGGAGGCTTCTGCTTTTCCAACTTTTCAAATAGCCTTAACTGTTGTTTCAAGTGCTATATTTGATGTAGGTTCTCCCTGCTAAGAAGGGAAGTAGAGAAAAACTAGACAAAAGCACTAGACTGTAGCTTAGCTTGGAGCATAGTTTCTCAACCTGTGGTCTGCATACCCCTGGGAGTACATGGGTACCCTAACACTCTTGCCCTCTTTTCCTCCCTCTTGCCTTCTTTTCCTCTCAAAACTCTGGCAAAAAATTCCTCAGTACTAATATGGCATGCCACACTGGGTTCAGCCCTCCTAGCATTGGCCAACATGGCACTGGGTTCAGCCCTCCTAGCTTTGGCCAACATCACCTCTAGCCAAGGTACATACTTGAGTTCTGCACCCCTAGTGTAAAAGGTGGCAATCCTACCCACACCAGATCAGATATCTCATATGGCCTTATATATACAGCCCTTCTTCCAAAAATGGCACAGAGTCTATAAATATAAAATCCCCTTGAGAAACACTGGCATAGAGGAATGAACCCTATATTTCAGCAGTGTTTCCCAGCCAGTATACTGTTAGACATGTCCAGGTGTGCCACAATCTTGGGGGGGATGGCTACAGCCACTGCTGCCCTGCACTGCCACTGCACCTTGGCTGGCCCTGCACTAAATACCACCCCCTTCCTTCCCCCCTCTCTCCCCCCCTTGCATCCAGCTGCTTCCCCCCGCCCTCCCCTGCTCCACAGCCGGCCAGTGTGTCATGGGATGGAAAAGGTTGGGAAACACTGCTTTAGCAAGTTATACTTAAAATTTAGTTTTCTCTTCCTATACATAGAAACACTACTTTTAAAATAACATTCATTCCTGTATCCTAAGAAAAACTTTTAGACCAGGTGTGTGATGTGTTTAAAGTTTGAATAGCATCAATTTAAAAGAAAGGAAAGTGGTCCTGCTGGAATGAGTTGCCTGAATGTGGTCTGTAAATAATCTTGTGGAGGAAAAAAAATTGCATAGCTGTGTCATCTGAAGTAGGGGTGTACTTGGTAGCCGTGTTGGTCTAAAACAAGACATACAAAAAACTAGAACTCTTGGTTCCAAAATGATACCTTTTATTAGACCAACTGGGAAACTGCAAGAAAATTGTCCTTTTCTGCAAGCTTTCAGGCTCAAAGGCCCTTCATCAAGCTCTGGGAAAAGTATAGATGGTAAAAGATGGTAAAAAGTCCCAATACATAGAAAATAAACTTCATTTTTGTCCAGAGGGAGCTGGAGATGGAAAGCTGTCCCTCTGGGCCTGTGACAGACAAAAACACTCAAACCCAGAGTGACAGCTTTCCAGGTCCCTCTGCAAAAATTCATAGCGCATCTCTGGTTCCTTGCTGTGCCCCCCTAATGAATTTGTAGGCAGCCACAAGATCACCTCTCAGCCTTCCTTTGCGAAGGCTGAAGAGATCCAGGTCCGTCAGTCTCTCCTCATAGGGCTTGGGCTGCAAACCCTTAACCATATGAGTGGCTCTCCTCTGGACCCTCTCAAGGTTATCCACATCCTTCTTAAAGTACAGTGCCCAAAACTGGACGCAGTGTTCCAACTGCAGTCTGACAAATGCCACATAGAGGGGAAGGATCAACTCCTTGGTTCTATTTATCATGCATCTTTTACCATCTATACTTTTGCCAGAGCCTGATGAAGGGCCTTGGAGCCCAAAAGCTTGCAGAAAAGGATAATTTTCTTGTCTTGCAATTTTTCAGTTGGTCTAATAAAGGGTATGATTTTGGAACCAAGCGTTCTAGTTTTTTGTATGTCTTCTGAAGTACAGTGTTTTTAATGCAAGCCCTGACCATTATAGATAGCTATTGGCTGTCTGCTGATAGGGAAATCTTCCTTGCTTAAACAGACTTTGGTTAAGGGGTGAGAAATGGGTACCTGTGTTTGTCTTAAATCTAATAATTATTTTTGGAATTGCAGTTGCTAGGTATCCAAATGGCTTAATTTCAGAAGTATTGAAGCAGCTATTTCTGTGCTGGCATAAGCTGCTGATTACTAGGTAAGCATCAGTTTGTGAGGGGTGAATCATGCTATGACAAAGCCTTGACTGGGGTGATAATTGGGGACAATCCTGCTTTGAGCAGGAGGTTGGACTAAACCTCCTGAGGTCCCCTCCAACCCTAATTTTCCATTATTCTGTGTATTGGGCACAGAAAGCTAGGTTCCTGGTCTTGAAAACTTGGTTCCATAATTTAACACAAGCAGTACCTGTTGCTTGTTCTCCCCATGTTGCAGATTGTGAAAACAATCTGACAGCAAGTTTCTGTTGACCCCTTTAAACATGGTTTACAATTAACTGTGCTGAACTTGAGCTCAAGTGCTGCAATTTGAAATGTAACAAATTTTAGGCACTGCTTTCCTAGATCCAGATGGGTTTGCTAAGAAAAATGTGTTATGAATAAGCTCCCTACCAGTGAGCTTTGTGAACCTTCCCTTGAAGCAAAGCCCACTTAGACTGTATGGGCATTTCTACACACAATGCTTTACTGCGCAATAGAGCTGATTACTGCACAGTAAGCATCTGCACCTACACATGCGGACGCTTACTGCACAGTAATTGGCTTTAATCCCAAGTCAATTTTGCTACCTGCAAATGCAAGTAGCAAATTTACTTGTGATTAAGTGTGCAGTAGTGCATGTGTAAATCCCTGACTGGAAGCAAATGTGCTCCCAGTCCACTGCGCAGCAGCAGATGGGAGATTGCTCCCTGCCCTCGGGAGCTGCCTGCTCCTGGGGTATGGGGATGATGTTCCCCTGCTCCAGCAGCAGGGAGCTCCCAGCCCTGACTTGTGGGACCGGGGCTGGGAGATCCTCATCTCCTGGTGCCAGCTCTGCAGTTGCAGGGCCAGTGTTGGAAGATCCTTCTTTCCCAGTGCCAACTGCACAGTTACAGAATTGGCGCTGGGAGAGAAGGATCTCCCAGCACTGGCCCTGCAACTGCAGAGCTGGCACCTGGAGAAAAGGATCTCCCAGCATCAGCCCTAGGATTGTGAACTGGGCACTGGGAGAGAAGGATCTTCCAACCCCAGCTTCAGGAGCAGTGAAGCTGGTGCTGGGAGATAAGGATCTCCCAGCTCCCACTCCCCAATCATGGAACAGGGCTGGGAGTTCCCTGCTGGGGGAGGGTGGTGAGGCTGGGAAGCTGGTTCCCCACCCAGCTCCACAATGAGCTGGGTAGAGAACAGACTCTCCAGCCCCTGCCCTGTGATTGTAGAGCTGGGGCTGGGAACTGTCTCAGTCAGGGGCAGGTCCCAGCCCCATGCCCCAGTCAAGGTGTAGGGCTTGGACAGAATTGCAGGGGTGGGGCAGGAATCCCTGCCCAGCCCGGGGATTACTGCTAGCTGCCTCAGCAACAAATCAGGACAGGGGGCTGGGATCTGCCCCTCTGCTGCAGCTGTTTCCAAGTCCCCTGTCCCCAGTTGGGGAGCCAGGCCATAAGCTTCCTGCTGCTGGGGCAGGGGGACATTGTCCCTACCTGGGCTCCAGGGGTGGAGTCAGCCCTGACAGCCCCTCAGGGGCAGGGAGCAATGTCCTGGCCCCCTGCTTCCTGCTAGGCCCTGGGCTAGCACCCAGAGGAAGCCTAAAGCTCTTCCTGGCTGCTGCAGGGGACCAGTGCAGGGCCAGAAGCAGATTGCTGTCATGAGCATCTGTAAATGCCTGCCTGGGTCAGTTTACTCCAGAGTAATTTCCTGTACAGAAACTGATCCTGCATTATTTGCATGTATAGACGCATCCCCTGAGTGGCAAATAGCATGAATTATGGTCATGAGAGTGTGGTTGTCATCCCTCTCCATCTACTGTAAGTGTCTAGAGTTGTTCTTTGCCAAACTTAAAAGATAAAGGAGGGGTCGTCAACTAGGGGAACACATACCCCTAGAGGTACTTGGAAAGGTAATAGGGGGTACACATGGGTGGGCAGGGGGCAAAACACGTGCTGGGGCATGGCAGCAGCAGCATCTACCCCAGCACATTCCCCTACATTGCATCTTACCTGGGGGAGAGGCATGCTGGGTGCTGCCAGCCCCACACAGCACACTGTAGCACCTCCGTGCCCCAGCTCCCTCTTTTGATTGGCTGCCACTGTCGGCCAATAGTCAAAGGTGAGGAGGTGCCGCAGACACCCTCTCCCTGCAGAGCTGCAAAGGCGGGGGGGAGTGTTTCTGTGCCCACTCCCAGGAACAGGGTTCACTGGTAGCTTTTTCTCTACGCTAAATTGCCATTAGGCCCCAATTTATGTATGTAATTCATTCATGTAATTTTACTTGCCACGTTTTTAACTAAAGTGTACCGGGGCCCGAAAGCAGGTCAAAGAGAGTTGCAGACATTTCTGATAAATCTAGTGTCACCTAAGGAGCTGTAGGAGGGAAAGGTGGGGGTACTGTATCACATCAAACTAGGCATATTTCTATTTCTGTGCATGCATATAGAGCTCATATACATGTGTTACATCCACTTAGGCGAGACTGTAATCTGGTACTGATACCACACACACACTAACTACTGCTGATTTGTACTAAAAATCTTGACTTTTAAAGCTCCTAAAACTTCTTGGTTAAATTCAAATTCCTAATAACATTTCTTCAAGAGCAAATAGAAATTCAGTTTTAATGATTTTTTAAAAATGCACATCAATGAAGAGAAAAATTCTGTTCTGCTGAAAACCAATACACAAGATCTGTGGATAACCTGTTACAGTTATGACAGACAAGTATTCTTTATGCAAATACTATAGATTTTAAAATAAACAGGGAAAAAGGTTTTATGGAGTATGGTATTTCATGCATGGACTCAAGGTGATTTTTTTCAAAAGTTTTCAAGTCCCATCGACAGAACTCCTAAACCACTTAGGCACTTTTGAAAAGTCTATCCTTCATGAATTAAATACTCTGATCATTGTTCTGAGGTTTGTGTCTTTGAGTTACACCCAACAATTCTGTTTTCAGTTCTCCAGGCTGAGGAGGAGTTTCAGGTATACTCTGAAAAAAAAAGAAAAGAAAAGTGTATATATATATATAACTTGTTTCCAACAATGCCCTAGCTGTAGAAACTAAATTAAGAGAGCACCCCACCCCATAAATGATAGTCAATCAGGTACCTTTCAAATTCAATTCCATCTATTTCTCACATCTGCCTATAACATTTTCTCCTCCTCTTACTGTTTTGTGGAGAAGTGAAGAATAACCCCATGTTTTCTAGCTCCTGAATGAAACTGATTCCAGAAATGGAAACAGCTGCTTCCATAACTAACACTTAGTTCTTTTATAAAAGGTAATATGAAGAGAGCATTTCTTGAATAGTAGAAAAACTAGTTTCTCCCCTTTCAAGATACAACGGTTTGAGTTTGTTTTATGCTTAATCATCCTGTTACTTCATATTTTCTGGTAAGCAGCTGTCTCATTTTAATTAAATCATTAATTAATGGAGTGGCAGTACAACTGCCACTCCAGTTAATCTGGCAAGGTAGGACTCCCATAGGTATAATTAAAAAATAAATAAAAGAGAGCATGTGTGGGAAATGATGTAAATGCACATCCTCAACAGCCCTCACAATGGACTTAAAGATGACACCTAAATAATGAAGGTTTTTCTCATCCTCAGTTCAACCTTTGCTCAGCCACTATTAAACACTCAGGCCTCCTCACCATTTAAACAGATCATTTTACAGAGCTATGCATTGGATTGTCATCATGAATGCAGATGTATAACAGAAATTTAAGCTACCACATATCATTTTTCCTATCAGAAGATTAAAAACAAAAATATATTTGCTTCTAGAACTCCAAGAAAATTGCTATTAACAGGACAAGAGCCATGTTAAAATTTCAGCTCAATAGGAAGGGAAAGAGCATTATGGTAAGAGGAAGTATTCCAACATCCTTTCCCTTCTCTCCTTAACAAATGTAAAGAGAGACAATGGAGAAAGGGAGAAGAATAGCATGTGCCTACAGACAGAAGTTTGGAAATGGGGGGAGAAGAGAAACAAAAAGACAGACTTGGTAATAGACTATAAAAAGCTACTGCAAGAGTTTATTTCATTTGATTTGCATTCTGTGATTTCCTACCAACTGAACCTCTCTACATTCAAAAGAGAAAATCTGATAAAATGGAGTTAGGGTCACAGCCACAAATTTCATACGATTTTTACCTAAATACTAATTAGAATCCACCTTTCCCAAAAGGCTGACATATTTTAGCCCTCTGTGGGCATGTCTACATGAGATGTTAAAATTGCAGTAGATTTGTTCTGCTGAACATTAGTGTGTCATGGCAAAAGACATGCTAATATGCTAATGCGCTAACATAAGGTAGAATTAGCCTACTGTGCATTAGCATCACCTGAAAGTCGTGCACCGGCAGTACCGCACAATAGCACCAATTACAGCACAAGAAGTTTAGTACCTGTTATTACAGGTGCTAAACTTAATGTGCCATAATTACAGTGTATTAATGCATATGTAGACATGCCCAGTCTTAGTAAAACCAAGTAACTTTTGCCTGGCTATGTGCATCTTTACAAAAAGATTTGTTACGATAATGCAGTTCTATGCCCACAAGGCCTGGAAAGTTCACTTACCTTAGAAGAGTGGTTTTGAATCTTTCTAGACTGAACCCCTCGGAAAATGCTAGCTTTTAGTTTTCACTCTTTTTTTGAGCACAGAAGAATAATGTGCTCCACATCAGGCAAAAAAATCCGATTTCTGATATAGTCAATTTTTTTTATACCTGTGCCTATCTAATATAAGACCAATGTATCAGTGTACCTCTATTAATAATATCAGCTTTTTTAAGTAAAAATCATTTGAGTATTTTTGTCCCAGGGTGTCCATTTAAGGCAATTCCTATTCAAAGACATTCAACACAGGTTACTTAGCATAGACCAGACTAAGGGCCTTGTTCTACAGTCATTTTGAGCTGCTTCTTAAGCTCTTAATACCTGGATTGTCCACACATTAACACCTGAAACTAGTTTTGAGCACTCCTTGGGTGGCTCAGTTACACCAGTCCAAGGCAGGATTATCTCTGATCCATGTTACCTAGCTTGTGTTACACTAATGTGGCCACTCTGACAACCCCTGCACTAAGGTGTAGCCTAATCAGGGGGGTTTGCATGCCCCTAGGGGTACTTGGGAAGGCCCCAGGCAGTATGTGGCGGCAGCACAGAGAAGCGGAGGTACTTGGGAAGCAGCGGCACAGGGGTGGGGCCAGAATGAGAGATCGGGGGTTCTTACTTTTCTGTCTCCAGGCCCCAACTAGCCTGAACACAACTGCTCCAAACTCAAGCTAGCACTAACACCTAACGACACGTGTGCGGCTCACCATGTAACCAGTAGCAAGGCCCTAATGCAGGTGAAAGCTTTGAAGTCAAATACTCACCAGATCAGGTCTATAATATCTATGCACAACTTCTGCACCAGCAAACATTGCCAGCATATTTAAGCAGAACACTTTCAAGTAGCGAGGCCAAGAAACCCCCACGGGCATGGGGGAAGAAGAGAGAGCAGCTGCGATCCAAATACTCCTCTTACCTGCGGGAATTAGAGGGGGGGAAAAAAAGTAATCATGATTAGCGAATTCCATTTCACCCTTCCCCACGCAATTTCAGCTTTGGGGATTTGTTAGCAACAAATACGTCCGGGGTTAATCAAAATCAGGAGACAGGGGGCCCTTAGGGGGGCAATTTGAAGTGAGACACTAATTATTAAAAGCTGGAAAGGTGGGGAAAGAAGAAGCACTGCTTTTTGCCAGGGATGGAGCCCACAAAAATCCTCCAGGGGTCCCAGTGACCTTCAGAGACACCCTCTGCTCCTGCCCCAAAGGCACCTTGAAGGGACCCCTGTGCCCGGCCACCAAGCGCCCCCTACAAGTAAGCAAGCGAGCTGCAGGAAATGCTCCTACTTATCTGGAGACGGCCCCACGGCGCAGCGGCTCCGCACCGACACCAGGTCGAGCAGCTGCCTGGCAACCCCAGGGGCAGTGAGCCCCGCGCGCAAAGCAAGCACGACTGTCACCGCCCAACCACGTGACCCCCCCCTCGTTCTGACGTCATCTCTGCCCGGACTCTAGCAGCCGCCTACGTGACGGCGGCTCCCCGCCAGGGGTCGCTGCAGCAAGAGCCTGTTGAATCCGTCCCGCGCCGGCTAGTTCCGCTCAGAAGGGCTTCAGCTCAGGCCCGGGCGGCCGCTGTGCTCTCTGCTTGCTGCAAGAGCAAGAACAGGTTGGGGGCGGGGGTTAGAGATATTTGTTTTTTAGATTTTTTTTTTTAGATTGCAAAACTCTAGTTGGTCTAATAAAAGATATCACCTCTGCCACCATTCCTGATTGCTGCAAGAGATGCTTTTCGGGTGGGAGGGTCAAATAAGACTAGCCTCGGTTGCGTGGGGACAGCAGGCCCCCCAGCGACACCCCCCGCAGCAAGCCCCAACGGTAGGGCTGGGCACAGGACAGGTGATGCCAACGTCCGTGACGTTTGGAGATGTTGCAGGCGTTCCTGATTAACAAAAGCTATGAGTTTTCAGTTGAAAGAGATTTTATGTTTATTTTTTTACCTTCTTGGTTACAGAGAAAAGGCCTGGCAAGGCTCAAAACCCAGGAGTCAAAGTGGTGATAGATGACAGAACAAGGGGCAAGGGTCTCAACTTGCAGCAAGGGAGATGTAGGTTGGGTATCAGGAAGGACTTTCTCACTAGGAGGGTGGAGAAACACTGGAACAGGTTACCCAGAGAAGTGGTGGGATCTCCATCCTCAGCTTGACAGAGCCCTAGCTGGGATGATCTTGTTGGGGATGGTCCTGCTTTGAGCAGGGGGTTGGACTAGATCAGTGGTTCTCAACCTTTTTTGTACCAGGACCCATCCCAATGGAGTGCCCCTCACTCCCAAACCACTGCTCCTTGCCCCCAAGCCTCAGCTCCCCAGTGTGTGGGGGAGAATGAGGGACCCCAAGCAGCCCCTTCCAGGCTGGAGCTCTACCAGCCTGCAAGGAAAAAGCCACCGCTTCCCACATTTTTCTCCTTTAAAGGAGAATCCATTTTTAAAGGTTGTTGATCCATTTTTAAAGTTTGTTTGCAACCCTTTCATATATTCTTGCGACCCGCTTTTGGGTCACAACCCACAGGTTGAAAAGCACTGGACTAGATGACCTCCCAAGGTCCCTTCCAACTCTAATTTTCTATTTGCTATGACAGACTTATGACGTCTGTATCAGTCCTATATTTGCGTTATTATATTATCATATTATATTATTCTTTGCATTATTATATCTGAGTCGTGATTTTGACACATCTCTCCTAGCTTGAGTAGCAGTAGTCCTCCTGTAAATATTTCAGATTTATTCTAAAGACATATGAGCAGAATCAAGCAAACCCCTTCTGTGTGAGCACTTTCAACAGTGATCAACACTGTTGGCTTCAAAAGGAAGTACTTTTTCACACAGTGGGCACATCTACATGTGAAATTACTGCACCTGAATAAACTCCAGCACCAGTGTTTATTGCTCCCCCCAGGCACAGTGTTTACACATGTACCTGGGACCACAGCACATTGAGCAGGGGCGGCACAGTCCCAGCTGGCAGGGGACCCAGGGGAGTCAACCTGCTGGCCCAGGGCTCCTCTGACCAAGCTCAATGTGCTGCAGAGGGGCTGGCTGGAACATCAAGGTGCTACAGCCCCACGCTGTGACACCCTTGTGCCCCAGCCAGCCCCGCTTACCCTCTACACATGCATTGTGGCAGAGAAAATAACTCCGCTGTAAGACAGTACTTCTGTCAGGCAGTACCATCCTATGGTGGAGTTAATTAGTTTACTCTGGGCTAATAACACCACACTGTGGATGGTGATGCTTTACTGCGGAGCTAATTAGTCAACTCCACAGTAACGTATACATGTAGATGTGCCCCGCATGTAATTAAAGAGTGGAACACATTGCCACCAGATGTAGAAGCTAACAGTTTAGCCAGATTCAAAAAGGGATTGGACAAATTCTTGGAGAAAAGGGGCATCAGTAGCTAGGAGTTAGGGGCACAGCCTCTGAATCAGAACTTCCTAGACCTTAAGGCCGCATCCATTTGTGCAGCACACTATGTAGTTGTTACTGCACAGTCATTTAGTACTTGCATAAGTACTAAATGACTGTAAACAGTGTTAATGCATAGCATCATTGCCACACAGTTATTTTTTGATGCTATTGCACAGTAGCAACAAACTCGTTACTATTGTGCAGCAGCATCGCCGTCATGGTTTGTGCCCGCTGATGCTACAGCGCTGTAGCATCTCATGTAAATGCACCTTAAATGCTGGGGCTGCAAGTGAGAGCCAGTGAAGGGAAAAAAGCCTGGTCACTCTGCCTTTCAGCATCCACTGTGCCACCATGCAGCACAAGACTGGGCCAACGGCCCGATGGTGTGACCCAGCAAGTGGCAGGTCTCCTCTCATGCTCCAAAGTGCGTGGGTCACCATTTGCACCATCAGGAGCACAAAAGCGACTTCCAAATAGATTAAGTGCTTGGCAATAACTACTAAACAGCAGTATTTCTTGCCACGGACTAGCCCTGCATTTCCTCCCAAGGCCTTTCAAGGGAGTTTTCACCCCAATTGCGGCCTGGTGGCTATTGGATATTTTCTTCTCTAGACTTTTGCCAGGTGTCTGCTTACATCACACAGGGGCGGGCTGCTAAAAGCCAGTGGCTGTGCTGGGAGGAGAGCTGGGTGTCTTGGCGCTGTGGACTGCCTGGTGCCTCAGGTGGGACCAGGCAGACAAGGCACTTTGGGTGGATGCCACATCCTTTATTAGACAAATGCACTGGTTGGAAAACCGGCTTTTGCAAAATTTCGGGCCCAAACAGCCTTCTTCACTTATAGGGACCAGGCAGGGAGAGTGGCGCGGGCCGTGCCTTGCACGTGGAACACAGCAGCCCCCTGCTCGGGGAGGCTGAACGACGACGCTCCTACCCCGCCTCAGGCCAAGGCCCTGACTACCGCCAATACACGCAGGCCCGGGCCCGAGGCCGGGCCCGCCGGCTCCTGATTGGCTGCTTGCTCGCACGTGACCGGCGTGTCTGCGCGGCCGGTCCGCTCCGCCAGGCGAAGGTAAAGGGGAGGGGGCTGCGGGGGGAGTTGGGCTCGCCTCACGCTGACAATAGCCCGCCGGGCCGCGCCGGCGCCGGGGATGGAGGCCGAGGGCTCGGGCAGGTAGGCGGCCGGGCGGGCCTAGGGCGGGGGCGGCCCCGGAAGCCCCGTTCTACATGGTGGGGAGCCCTGGGAGTGGGAGGCAGGGAGTGTTGCAAGCGGGGGGGGCGCGACAGCGCGCCGGCCGGCCGGTCCGCTTCCGGGCACGTGACCCCCCCCCCGAGGCGTAGCAGTTTGGGCGCGTGTCCCCCCTCCCTCCCCCGCGGGGCCTGTTGTGGGGGTGTCCTCACTCCTCGCTGCTGATGCTGCGCTCCCCCTCCCCCCCCGGGTCCCACAGCCCAGTGCGACCCACAGGGCGGGAAATGCCGCGTGCGAGTGGTGGCACTGCCGCGCGCCCCACTGCCAAACTCCGGAGCTCCTTCCCGCCCCAAAGACAGCTGGATCGGGGCCGGGCCACTTCCTGGCCCTCCACAGCTGGATCGGGGCCAGGCCCCAACCCCCTCCCAACAAAACAGCTGGATCAGTCAAGCTATGTCCCCATCCCCCCAAAAACAGCTGGATCAGGGCCACACCACATCCCCGTCCCCCCACAGGTGGATCAGGGCCAGGCCACATCCCCCCCCAGTTGGATCCCAGCTGTGCCACACCCCTCCCCCAGTGAGTGGCCGGGCTGCCCCATCCACATGACTGGATGGGACCCCACTAGCACTGTCCAAGGTGCTGGATTGAGACCACTGGGTGGATCTGGCCCATGGCCCATTTAGCCCACCAGCCAAAAAGTTTGCACACTATGCAGTGGTTTCCAAACTCTGACAGATTGCGTCCCACCGTTTTAAAATGATACAACCTTAAGTACCACTAGCACATTTTTGTCATCTAAAGTAATTATAATAAATGTTAATTCGTACCACTGACAGGTTGTCTGCATGCCCCTGGTGGTACCCATACTGCAGATTGGGGTCTTGAATTCCTATAAACTAGGGATAGTCAACCTTTTCTGGCTGTGTGCTGAAATAACCCAACCTGAGTCATGCACTAGCTGGCATGCACTAGGATGTGGCTGCCACTGCTGTTTGCATGGGTGTATGTTTGCCAACCCCCACATCCACAGGCTGTATTTGGCCTGTGGGCCATAGGTTGCTGACCACTGCCTTAAGCAAAGGACAGGTTTGAACCCAGGCGTCCCACATCCCTGCCCCTCGGCTGTTGGATACAAGGGAGGTAATGATGACATCATATGGTCATCATCTGTGAATTTAGGCCTGAATTATTTTCCACGCAAAAAAATTCAGTGGGTTTGTACATAGCTCTGGGATGACCAAAGCCACATTTTTTTCAGCAACTTGACTCTTCACCAAAAATGACTTCTTGCTCTACGTAAGGATCAGTCTGTAAATGGAGATGGGTTATATATGGTCTATATGGGAGGGATCTGTATGCATATGGAGGGTGTATGAAGCAGAAATCTGTAGTGTATGGGGGCAGGGAAGGTGGGGTCTGCATGTGTATATGACATAAATATTATAACGGCCTGGAACCTGAGATTTCATTGAGGAGTTCTGTGTGTTTCTGCGTATAGAGTTTTGTGTAAGTATGTGGGGGCTATATGTGGCGTAAGATACTCTGTGTCCATGGCTTGGAAGTCAGATTTCTCTCTGATGTGACCAGAAATGACCAGTTACAGTAAAGATTAAAGGTATTAATGTATCTATCTTTGGCTAATTGTGTCACTTATGCATCTGTAATATCTTGTGCTCCATTTTAGATAGAACAACATACCCTGCTGATATAACAGGAAAGATTTCAGTGTTTTCTAAAATCTGAGAAATGTTAAGTCCAACAGCAGCTTTAAATCAGTCCCACACTCTGTGTAGTTGTTACTGTAGATTTAACAATATAAACTGTAATGTGTTCTAACATATGAGGCAATAGAAAAGTACAAGAAAATTATACGTGTGTTTAGAGGTGCACCAATACATTGATCTATATCAGATGGGCACCAATAAGAGGCAAATTGACCAGCTTTTTTTGCCCAGTGTAGCCAATAATGTCACCGATAAATGCCACAGCATGCCTGTGGCCAGGAATGCAGCCTGGCAGCTTGGAGAGCAGTGTCCGACCAGTAAATCTGTGGGAGGGAAGGGGTGTTGGGGGTCAGATCGAGTCCCCCACAGTGAGGAAGGGAGTAGGGCAGGGGCAGGGGGAGGTGCTGTCCAGCCAGGGTAGAGAATGAGACAGAGCTGCGAGTGGCTCATCTGGGAGGTGAAGGGTGGAGAGGGGGAGCCTGCAGTGGGCTGCCCCCCCTTGCCCCATGCACAATTCTGGGGGGCACATGTCTCCCCCAGGGGCACACGCAGTGATCATGAGCCCCCACCCCCCGCATCTCCCAGCTGAGCTTTGCACAGCTTCACACCATACTCCACCCCACCTCAGCTGAGCAGCTCCTGCCCCCACCCCATTCCTTCCCTCACCATCTTGGTCTCGATCTGCCCCATGTCCCTTCCCCCCGACAGACTTACCGGCCACACGCTACTCTCCGAGCTGCTGGGCTGCATATCGGCTATCAGATCATTATTGGTGGGTATGGCTGTTTAATAATAGGTAGGGCTGTGCAAAATGGCTATGTCTCATTTCGATTTGAAATTCAGCCATTTTGGAGGACTGATTTGCTTCTCAGGGCAGCCATGAGAAGCCCCCCAGGCTGTCCTGCCTGGCCCCATCCCCCACCTGGCCCCAGCCTCTCGGCTCTTTAAAAAAAAAAAAAAAAGGCCCCACACTCACACCAGCTGTAGCAGCAGTAATTGTGGCCTCTGGGGGGCTCATGGCAGGGCCCCGCCGTGCAACATGGGGCAGTGGGGGGCAGCAGGGATTGCACACACACACACACACACACCCGCTTGGTACCTGCATGGCAGCTGCCCTATGGCACAGGTGCAGTGTGGCTCAGCAGGGCGCCGTGCTGTCTGGGAACTGGGGCAGCTCCAGCAGTCAGCTGGATCCAGCCCAGCACCACTCAGCCCCTGTGGCCCCAGCTCCTAGACAGCATGCAGCGCCCTGCTGATCTATGCTCCACCCACACCATGGTGGGGGGAGAGCCATCAGGGGCAGGGCTGGGGGGTGGGGGAGATCGGGGAGCAGGGCCTGTGCAGGGGGGCTCTGCCATGTGGCCCCAGAGTCCCCACGGCCCCTGTTACAGTTGGTAAGGGCAGGGCTTCTTTTGTTTTTTGTTTTTCAAGTGCAGGAAGCAGTGCCGGGTGGGGGATGGGGCCAGGCAGGACAGCCATGGCGGCTTCTCCTGCAGCTCCCCTGGCTGTACTCGGCACAGGCTTCGCCAAGCAGACTTGGATGCTGGAGCTGGCACCAGCTGGCAGCAGCAGCATGCTGTCATCCCTCGCGCAGATCCAGGGGCCCACAGCCTCCAGGAGGGCTGTGGGGCTGAGCCAGACTCCTCTCTAAGGGCGCAGGACCTTGGATCTGTGCACAGGATGACAGCAGGCTGCCACCCCCCACCCAGAACACTGGGATTGGAAGGAACCTCAGAGACAGATCGCAGACACTGGCCAGCTACAGATGTCAGTATCAGAGCAGTCCTTCCGCCCCGCTTCCCCTTCCCTCTTAGTTTCTGTTTACCTGGAAGCCCAGCTCCAAAACATCCAAAACATTTCTGACACATTTTGGTTTTGTTTAGTTTCAGAGATGCTTCAGAGCCTTCCGTTTCATTTTGGATTCGATGCTTCGGGTACCGAAATGGGCTGAAACATCTCCAAGGCGAAACAGCTGCCGAAATTTTGCACAACCCAAAACTTCATTTATCAGTGCACCCTTACATGTGTTTAATATGTCTGTAGTAGTCTGGAAGTTCTGGCTCTTAAGGCATTATTTACATTACAAGAACATGAAGGTGCCGTTTTCATTCATAGTAATGCTTAACAGCCATTAATTAATCAGCATTGCCAGCCTGTTCATTTAATGTTGGATACTCTACTGCTTTTTTATTAGATTTATCAATCATAAAAGCTGTGATTGGAGAATATAACCTACAACATGCATCAACCATAGTAAAGAGTGTGGAGTTTGTAATATACTGGATAGATTATAAACAATTCTGAAATGCTTGTAAAATGCGTCTTGCAATTTTTTTTTTCTTCAAGGTATTATTCGCCTCTTCAACAAGCCCAAACTTTTTATCCATTTCCATTCCATCAAGTGATAACTGGAGCTCCTAACATGGAAATTATGAATGAACAACAAACTCTGGAGGAGATTCCAGAGCCAAATTTTGCTTCAGAACCTACTCAAGGTAGGTTGCCTGAACTAATAATTTTATGATGTTAAAATCCATATTAACTATACTTGCCAGCAGCCAATTTCTAGGGTGATGTCTTAAATTGCCCTGCTGAATTTTCTCTTTTTGACATTCTGCGCAAGCATTTGAATTTGATTTTTGTAATGTAAAAAACCATAAAGAAATAAGACAACCCATCCCTCGCTCAGTTCTGTAAAATGCTACTGTCCTAGGGCAAGTAATATTTTTGATAGGTGGGTAAATTGTTTTTAGTCAGTTTGGGTTGTGAATTTAAAAAATAAATAAGCATTTTAGTAGGCTAGTAAAGTTTCAAAGAAGTTTTGTAAAACAGTGGTAGTAGAACTCTTTTTCACTGAAAATCTTTCAGGTAACCTTTTAATTACTGTCCTGGTATTTCTGTGATTCACTGCAATTGTATGGCAGTAATTCAGTGGTTTTGACTGTTGTTGTTATTTTTTTTAAAACCTGCCACAAATGTGAGCTCACTGCAATCAATTTCTTGAAGTATACAGGAGTGTTATACTCTGAACATCACTAGGTAGTGTAGTGTTACATGGATTACAGGTGTACTGGTAGTTTAGCTACTGATAAGAGGCAAGACACAGTTCTACAGCCCAAAGCACAAGAATATGCACTGTACCCCCTGGGAGACTCGGGGGAAAAAAGAAAATAACCTACAGACCAGAAGTAGGTGTGTTTGGATCCACTGAGTTCCCTTTTGTTCCCTACAGTCTAACTTAGGTTTAAATATAGTTTACTGTAACAGACATTCACTAATTGATACATTTACTTTTCTTTTTTTCTGTTTCACTAACTGGCCCTGGAAGGTGTCAGTTAGCTGTGATTTATGTCCTTGTAAACATAAACAAAAAAGACAAAGATGATACAGCAACTTGCAAAGGGGAAAATAGCTGGTATTTCCTGCTGGAAAGCTGTCACTGAACTGTGCTTGGGTGTTCCATTTTTAATGACACCATCAGGGCAAAAGTGTCTTCTAAGTTTGAGATTTCTTCTGGTTGTTTTTTTGCAACTAAGAAGACTTAATCTGCTCCCTCAAGAGACTTTTGGTTGTATAAGAAAACACCTTGCTCCTGTAAAAGAGGAAGGAAAAGTGATCCGTTGCTCTGCCTCGCACACTGCATCCAATATTTCAGAGACCTTCTTTGTAAATAATTCTATCACTGGTAAATAGGTATTTGGATTTTTTTTTTGACGCTGTTCGTTAGCGTCAAAATAAGAGAGTGGCATAAGGACTCACTTGGATCATGTTATGACCAATAATTATAGCTCAGATGCTTAGTATGCCAGAATTTTGAAATATATATTTTATCTCGTCTGCACAGGTAAATTCTGTTTTGTATATACTCTTTAAGTAACAATTATCTTCAGGAATCATTTAAATTGAAAAGCTGTGGCACTCTCGAGTTTTAAATGTCACCTCAGAGTATTTCTGTTCAAAGAAGTGCAGACTAAATAATCTGTGCAGTTTTATCCATGTTTACTTCATGGGTTTATATCACGGCATATACCTTACATCAGTGTTTCCCAACCTTTTTCGCCCCATGGCATACTTACCTAAATAAAAAAGCACTGCGGCCCACCAGACATGGAATCTGGGTGGGGGAGTGGCTTGCAGTCAGTCAGACGGCATTTTGGGCTGGAGCTACAACCCCTGCCTGGCTGGAGCCACACTCCTGGTCTGTCCCTATCCGTAGCAGCAGCAGGCGAGGGGCATGGCTGCAGCCAGGCGGGGGGCATGGCTGCAGCCAGGCGGGGGGCATGGCTCCAGCCCAAAATGCCACGGCACATCTGGATGTGTCTGACAGCACACTAGTTGAAAAACGCTGCCTTACATTATATATAATTATATACATTTGTACTGTCCCTCTCGCTTTCTCTTGTTAGACTTTTTACGTGGCACTCTATCAAAACTATGATTTCTAACAATAAGCCTTCATATTTGAAAGCTGAACAGGAATATAAAACTTGTAATATTATTTACTGGAGCCTAGATTTTGTTGTTTCTGACTCTATTCCCTTCCCCCTAAAAAACCAACACGTTATGAACTTTTCTTTCCCTTTTGGAGTATTATCAAGGGATCTTTGTTTCTACATAACAAATTAACTGTTTGACCATTATAATCTGGGTTTGTTCTGTAGCCAACCACTATAGCTTCCTTCACTGTGAGAGTTGGTGTACTTGTGGATTTATTAAAAATATGCAGTGACCATACTGATATATCAAGTTATTGCTCAGTGCATAATTACACTGTGGAAATGAAGAAGGACTTCACTAAGCGTTTCTTAAACAACAGGGCAAAATCGGAACTATTCAGCCTGTAAGATGATCTACAAGACTTGCAATATATAATATAGTTTGCAAGTTTGCAGCTTCTCAGTTATTAGAATTTATAACACAACTCTGAAACTTAAATTCTCCAATGAAGTCCTGGATGGCTGAAGGATTATTATTAGGGGCAGTTAGGTAATATTGGGGGTATGGTAGGGAACTCAAAGAAAAAGATATACGATACAGCTTCATTTATGACTAGCCCTGTTTGTGAAAACCTCCTGCTTTTACCAATCCCAACAGGAAGAACCATTTTTTTTAATTGTTATGATTCAGCAAATTAACTAAACCTATCATCATGAACATCTTTTTTTAATGAACTTTTCTCCCAGTTCCAGGGGGTTTGTTACTGTACCTAGATTTATTGTCAGCATATCATTGACTATCTTTTTACCAAAAAACACATTTTTTTTATTGTGATGTCCAGTAAATTAAGATCCTAATTTGATTTAACTTTTCCTGTCTAGCACAGACTTAAATTTCCAGTTTCACTGTCTGACCAGGGCTAGTGCCCTTTATAGACAGAACTTCTATTGAGATTTATCTGAAGCCTGTTCTGAAGGGTTATCCTGCGCTGGTGTTTTGAAGATAAGAATAGATTTTGGTAGACCAGTTGAAATGTAGCCAGTATATTTTGGTTTTTGTTGCAGAAGTTACAAGGGGCAGGAAGAGAAAAACCAAATCAACTGAGCCCAAAAAGCCTGCTGCCAAGGCAACTAAGTCAGCTAAATCAAAAGGCAAACAAGAAAAGATCACCGATGCTTTTAAAGTCAAAAGAAAAGTGGACCGTTTTAATGGGGTATCTGAAGCTGAACTGTTAACCAAGACTCTGCCTGATATTTTGACCTTCAATCTGGACATCGTAATAGTAAGTTATATTCAGTTTTCTTAGTTGTGTATGTTTTGAATAGTCTGTAACTTATTAGCCATGATTTACTGCTACTCGTTTGTCAGCAGCCAACTTGCATTTCTTATAGTAACACAGGCGTGTCAAGCTCATGTGGCTCCTTGGGGCCAGATGAGTGACATGGAACTGGTCCATGGGCCAGATCAGTCCCTCGGACCCCTCTTACACACATTGCCCAATGTTGGATCCAACGCATACAGCACCCATATGCAGTGCAAGTTATGGATTGGCTGGAATAGGTGCTGAGTGCACCATGGGCCAGCCAGGGTGGGTGCTGCATGCAGTATACATCCTGGGCTCTGGGTACAAAGGTCAGTCTGATGCATGGCATGTGGGTCAAATCAGACTCCGGGACCACACTGGGGCTGGGTAATGAGTGCTCTGCAGGCTGTATTTTTGACACCTGTGCAATAACAGAATTCGAGTTTTTGAAAAATCTAGGGTTTAATTGTGAGGGAAAGTAGAAACTGTTCAGATATGGTCTACAAATACCATTGTTCTGAAGTCTTCAAATTGAGATGTAAAATTCATCATTGAAAATTATTAATTGAATTATCATTTTGAATAGCTGCCAGTAGAATTGACAGAAAATGTGTAATGTAACTCTAGTAATTTATTAATAAGCACATTCTTTTTTCACCTCTGCTATTTTAATGGTCATGTTTTTTAATCTGTGTTTTCATTAATATTTTGTCTTATAGATTGGCATAAACCCAGGCTTGATGGCAGCCTACAAAGGGCATCATTACCCTGGACCTGGAAATCATTTTTGTAAGTTTTATTTCTTTTATTGTGTTTGCAGAAATCTGTCATAATTTGAGGCATTGTAACATTAGGCCATCTGTATCTTCACTTTTTTTTTTTTAACAGTTTTACAATTATCTAAGAGTGACTTAATGATGAGCACACAGTTTGTTCTGTTACAACGTAAAAGCCCCAAACCAGAACAAAATCAAGATGGATCAACAGATAGTCCTGGTCACTATGTACATCATGTTTATAAGTGCAGATAAATAATTACTATATAAACATAATTAGATTGTATAACTGAAAAAACTTACTGGGTTTAACCTCAGTGTGGTAGGCCCTGATTCATTAAAACTTTTAGCTATTGCTACATTGACCCTAACATGCATGTTTACACAAACAGAGTTCAAAAAGAAAAGTTCTGCATCCTGGGACTGGAGATGCATAGGTTGATTTCCACTGGGATTCACACCAACTGTCACACTAGAGAGGGGAGTCCAGCCAATAGGAAGTGTATAAGAAGGTAGCATGTCTGGGACCCCATGTCTCTTTTGATGTTAGGCAGTATTTGTGCTGGTCTGTGCTGTCCAGGCTTGTGCATTACAGCTAGTTTAGGATTCAGTAGCATAAAAACCTCCACATGGGGCGGTGGGCACATAAATTTGCTCCTTGTTGAATGAAGCATGAGCCTACTGAACTTATTTAATATTCCAAATAGTTTGTGCCTCCACCTCATGCTTGGCAGTGAACCTGGAAGTAGACTGGAAGTACTTCTGGTCCACTTCCAGGCCTGCCTGGGAGCATGCTGGGAGGCCCTCCTGTAGAGCCCCAGCACTGGAGAAGGTGCAGAGACAGGGCTGCAGTGAACCTGAGGTTGCTCAAGGCCAAATCAGAATTAAAAGTGCTAGTCTTTACATACCATCTGACCCTGAGTGTCAGCCCTGAGCTTTCTCTCTCTGCTCGCTGAGGATTCTTAAGCATTTTTATTCCCTTGAGAATCATACTAGGCACCTTTAAAAGAGTCTCTTTTTATAGTATTTTTTCATATATAATAATTATGGTTCATGTACTCTGAAAATATTATTTTCTTATATATATTTATGTACCTTATACCTTCTTATGTATATTGGTGTAGTTTCTTTTACATATAAACTGCTGAACTGTGTAATTCATTTTCATTGCATCCATAATACCAGCTGCTGCAATTTCTCAATCTTTCTTTGTTCCAACTCTCATAAGTAAAAAATAAGAGTGGGATGACATTTGGACACCAGTGTAACTTATTCTTCAGGAGTAATGCTGTAGCTGTCAGAGAAAATAGCGGTCCCCCAGGGGATATGGGGCAGCATGCTGTTGGCATAGCCCCTGGGGTAAAGAGCCATGTGCAGTGAGTGGGGGTTGCAGGTACAGCCTGCATGGTTGGGGGGAGGATCTTAAGGAAGTTAAGATCCAGCCCCCGGCTACAACAAAGTTGGACAGTCTTGATTCAAGTTATATAAAGTAAAAAACAAAGGCATGGCCCAAGCTGTTAGTCAAAAATGTCCTTTTACCAGGAGTCCCATCTAGATTTAAGGGAAGAGTCTCCCTTAGTTTGCCTAAAAAAATTTATTTTTAAAGAATTCTGTCTTTGGCCCCCTATGAAAATCAAAGCATGGAGACTGCGAGAAGACATGCAGTTATACTAGTGGGAATAACTTGACAGTAATACATTGTAATACATTGGCAGATGGGCCAGCTTTTCTAGACGCAATCTAGAGAAGGGAACCTGATTGAGGTGTCATATTTTCAGCAATTTTCTATCTAGATTAAGTAAAAGCCGTGAATATAATGGGCAGCTATAAAATAAATATTTACAGATAGACAATTACCTTAAATTAAAATGAAGTTGCTTGACTTGGAGGCCATCTTTAGCATTCCAGTATTTTATATGCCAGTCAGTGTCTTGTTTAAGTAGTGCTTTGACATAGTGTCTGTCATGGTAATATCTCCCTAGAAATAGCTGTTTAAATAAAGTGCTGACATTATTGTAGTATTTTGGCAACTGCAAGTGTTTCATAGTGAATGAAAGAATAACGTTGTAATTTATATCTCCACAGGGAAGTGTCTTTTCATGTCTGGGCTGAGTAAAGAACAATTGAACCATATGGATGACCACACTTTACCACAAAAATACGGTATTGGATTTACAAACATGGTGGAGAGAACAACACCAGGTAGCAAAGACCTCTCCAGGTAGGATAACATAGGCTTGAACCATTGTCTAAACAAGCATATGGTCTTAATCATGAATGATGGTTTTCTCTCTTTTACTTAGCAAAGAGTTTCGGGAAGGAGGGCGAATTCTGATGCAGAAATTGCAAAAATATCAACCTCGCATAGCAGCTTTTAATGGAAAATGTGAGAAACTTAACTTTGAACAATTTATCCTTTATAACAGCTTTCTACCAGATGTGTAATCTGTCTCCATTTTGGTCTAGGTATTTATGAAATTTTTAGTAAAGAAGTGTTTGGAGTAAAAGTTAAAAACTTGGAATTTGGATTGCAGCCACACAAGGTCCCCGATACAGAAACGGTAAGTTCCTTCTGCTATACAGATATCATGGCAATGAACTGAAATACAGAACAGCAGTTTTGTTATTCAAGGCTAGTGAAACCAAGTGGAGATGTAACCAAGTTACATCAGTGAAGATTTTGGCCCAAAGTGCAAAGGAAATGAAGGTTTCATATTTAAATAAAGGTATTAGGCCATCCAAGACAGAAATGTATCTGACCAGTTCTTAAAAACCTCCCTGGAAAGAAATTTCGTCATCTTCCCAGATAGTGTAGTGCTGTTTTTCAACTGCTTGTGCATGCCTCTAATGGCAATTTCACCTAAATTCTATTTCACTGGTTTGCAGAGTAGTCCTTTGACTCTGTCACTTTTTTTTTTGCTCTAGGCCTTTTGTCAAACCTACTTGAAACTTCTCCTCACTAGGTTGACAAACCAGTGCCCAAACTTGCTGTTTTCTTTCTTTATCAGATGGTATCTCTTATCTTTCCAGCAGTCCTTTTGTACAACACTGTTCCACCGTCAGGGGGCCAGAGCCCTTCCATAGCCATAATTTGCACAGCTATGTATTTGCATCTAGTATTAGGCACCATCTGGCAAAGAAAGGGAACAACAAGTTAGGGCAGCAAGTTAGGGGGAAGAGGGTGGCAAACAGCCAAACACGAAGCCAGCCCAGCTCCACAAGAACCCCAAAGCATGGGGCCTGGGGCAGTCACCCTGACTTGCCCCCCTCCAGAGATGGCCCTGGTGGTGGCCTTGAGCCTCCCAGCCTTGGGAGCACATGGCTCTTCTTCAGGCCTTTGGGGTCTGGTCTCAGGAGCCACATAAGAATGCTTGACTTCAGACAGGGGCAGTTAAGGGGGGAGTACTGTCTGTTGTGTGCAGTGGCCTGCAGACAGTTTCCTGACTGCACGGCTGCTGTACTTTCTTCCTGTTGTGCCACTGTAGTCCTTTTTGAGCAGATACTTTCCTCAATTCTGCCTGGCTCTATATCAGGGGTGGGCAAAATATAGCCCGGATGCAGGATCCGGCCCGCCAGGCCATTCTATCTGGCCCATGGGGCCCCTAAAAAATTTAGAAAATTAACATTTATTTGCTCCTAGCTGCCTGTCAAACATGACAGGAGCCAGGAGCAGTAGGACCCAGAGGAAGCTGGTGACAGGACCCAGCAGCAAGGCCTGCCCAGCCCTGCCCCC